GGTGGGTTCGTATTTGGTTTTGCGTCGTTTCGCAACGTATTATACAGAGCGATTTTCTATTTATAGATGAATTTTTGACTTATTTAGCAATATAATGTTCTTAATTTTATATAATTTAGATTTAGTTTTTGATAAATTTATATTGTCCATAACTTAAATATGAATTCAAATTACAGGAAACCCAACACCATACTACAGCTGCGATAAGTCAGTTTCAAGAAGACTTGAAATCTTTAGTCTTGGAGTAGTGTTTGGAATAACCAACAGAGACCGTAAAAGAATAGAGTGAATACGACAAAAGACCCAGGTAATAAATAATGTCATCCACAGTATCAAATACTTCAAGTGGCAATGGGCGGAACACCTGACAAGAAGCACGGACAACAGATGGACCACAAAAGTTATAATATGGTATCCACGAGAAATTAAAAGACCTAGAAGAAGACCAAATCTGAGAGGGGATTATGGTACTAAGAAATTAGCAGAGATAAATTGGACTCGCATAGCCAACAATAGACAACAATAGGCCCAACTACAAAGAGAGCATCTAAATATGTGAGGGAGGCTACACCATAATTGAAAATGGTTGAATAAGCTAAAGATGATGATGGTGAAGTCATATGTAAAATGAAAAATTATTTAAATCAAATTGTAAATTCAAAAAGTCAACTTCAACATAAAGTTCAAATGATTGAAATCTTAAGTCTTTGACTTAAATCATTTTCTTTCAAATCAAGTCATTTTCATTAAGATTTAAATCAGTATAATGTAGCTCAAGTCGTTTGAACGACTTAAGTCTTCATTTTTCATTTAAGACATGATGGTCTGAGAGTTAAGTTGGCAAAATGTCTTAAGTAAAGTGATAGTCGATATCCCCTTATTATCTATATTATTAATTTATTGTAGGTACAGATGAGACTAAAACCACTTAAAACAACACGTTTTATATTCAGAATAACTACAAACAAAAAACTAAGAACTTGCTTGCTTGCTTGCTTGTTTGCTTCCTTACTTACTTACTTACTTACTTACTTACTTACTTACTTACTTACTTACTTACTTACTTACTTACTTACTTACTTACTTACTTACTTACTTACTTACTTACTTACTTACTTACTTACTTACTTACTTAGCGCGCGCGCGCGCGCGCGCGCGCGCGCGCGCGCGCGCGCGCGCGCGCGCGCGCGCGCGCGCGCGCTTGCGCACTTGCCCCTTCGCACTTGCACTTCACTTGCCACCCGCACTCTACTTACTCACTCTACTTACCTCACTTACTTACCTTACTTACTTACTCCTTACCACTCCACTCACCCACTTACTCACCTCCACCCCACTCCACTTACCTCCACCTCACCCCACTTACCCACCACTTGCCTTACTTACTTACTTACTTGCCCACCTTACTTACTTACTTACTTCACTTGCTCACTTACTTACTTACTTACTTACTCTACCTACTTACTTACTTACTTACTTACTCACTCACGCACGCACTTAGACTTTTTACTTGCCACTTACTTCACTTGACTGGAGCCAGCTTAAATGGCGTTCTACTGGGACTGGCGCCAGCTACTCGAATGGCTGGCTTTCTAGTGGGACTGGCGCCGGCTAATGGAATGGCTGACGCTTCAGTGGGACTGGCGTCAGCTACTGGAAGCACCGGCCTACCAGTCAGATTGGCGCCAGTTACTGGACCGACTGGCGTTCTACTGGGACTGGCGCTAGCTACTGGAATGACTGGCGTTCCAGTGGGACTGGCGCCTTAAGCTACATTATACTGATTTATATCTTTATGAAAATGACTTGATTTGAAAGAAAATGATTTAAGTCAAAGACTTAAGATTTCAATCATTTGAACTTTATGTTGAAGTGAACTTTTTGAATTTACAATTTGATTTAAATAATTTTTCATTTTACATATGATTTCATCATCATCATCTTTAGCTTATTCAACCATTTCCAATTATGGTGTAGCCTCCCTCACATATTTAGATGCTCTCTTTGTAGTTGGGCCTATTGTTGTCTATTGTTGGCTATGCGAGTCCAAGTTATCTCTGCTAATTTTTTAATAACATTGATAATTATAAATTCAAATCTCAATTCTCCATGTTAATGAATTTTTCATAAAGTTCACTTAATATAAATACAAATAAAACCTGTACTTGATAATGCTTTTCAAAAATTAAAGTTTTCCTACACATTAGGCTATAAAATAAACATGTATATTTTAAACATCTTAATTATTGAGATACAGGGTGGTAAACTTTTCTAAAAAAATAAAACTTTTTGTATTATAACTCTGATGTTATTATAGATGTCTTTATAAAATTTGATGCACGTCTTTTTGAACTTCTTTTCTAGTCCTTACCGTTTCTCCGACATTTCGAAAAAATAATTTTATTTATTTATTTCACTCCTTGGGGGTTAATTTAAAAAAAAATCTTTTACAATTCGTTTTTAGATCTTTCAAAGTAATTTATATCAAAAATTCAAGTTTTTACCAAAACTTCGTATTTGAAGGCCTATTTCCTTGGACTAAAAATGGGACGAAATAAGAAATAAATCTCTGAGGTCGCTGTGATTATCTTCCCCCCAAAATAAACTTGTTTTTTTGCGTATATTTTTATTCTATGTAAACTATTTCATCCTCTCCATTTTTTCCACCGTTGCAGGGCGCCGCACTGAACCAAATCGTCTCACGCGAAGGGCTTTGAGGGGGGATCAAAGAGGGGAAAGCCGAGCAGAAGAGGAGACAAAAAGGGGGACCGAACTGCAGGGCAATTAGTGTCGGCGGCGCCCGCCCGACCGTGAAATGCGATCTCGCGCTCATTTTTCCCGCTGCTCCCCCGTCCGTTTCTCCCCTTAGTCTTCAGGAAAGCTCGGTGCGCTTCCTCCGCGGCCGCCGCTTCGGAAATCTCGGGCACGATTTCGAAATTGCCTCGGCCGCTCGCCATTTTTTCACCCTCGCCTTCGTTTTTCCACTCTCCTATCTCGCCGGTGCGTCTCCTAATAGTTTTCGGTTCGTTGTTAGAGCGTATCGACGTAACGTAGACGCCGTGGCCACATTGATTCGAACCTAGATCATATATACTTACTTGGATAAGTAAGTCAATATGGAAACTGTCACAAACATATTAACGACTTATATTTATCTTCTGTTCTTGTTGCACACGCGGTGCTTCTACTCTATCTATCCTTGTCGAGGACCTATCGTCCACGCGCCAAATTTGAACATTAATTTTAAAAATTTAATTTGTAAAATGCATATATTTGAACAATAAATTGAATATTTACTGTTGCCAAAAATTAAATTATATAAAAAATACATTTAGCCACACCGTACGAATATCAATATACTTAGGAAATCTAACCAGAAAGTATACATAAAATAAAAACTGAATACTTTACTTGCCTCTGAAAAGATAATATTAGAACTTCCACACACCAAACACTTTCTAGTTATTTTTACAAGTATTTATAATTTATAAAGTGCAACGAAAAAAAATATAGAAATATAATTGCACAAACTTAAACCGCTACCATCGCTAACCAACTCTAAACTCTCTTGAGCTTTAATCATCTGCTGATGATGCTAACATGGTTAGCGAAACGCGCGTCCAGTGTAAAAAGCAAAAAAATAAAAGTGTTTTGGTGTATTGTGGTGATTTAGTCCCTCTCTAACGGGAATCATCACCTTGTCGCTGGTGAGAGGGCTCAGTAACCTTATATCCAGGGAGCGATGCCGGCGGTAGCGTAGCTACCGGTAGGGCTACCCATGCCGGTAAGGTCTCGAAGAGATTAAGGTGAAGCTAAGAAGATTCCCACGCAGCGTCTGTCCCAGAATGGGCGGCTGCACTGGTGAAAGGCAGCAGTTTCACCAAAATCGGGCTATAGCGCGAGAAGAATGACTTTGAAGCGGTACAGTGCCGAACACGGAAGAGCGCTGCTGAATCAGCGAAAATGGTCTTCCCACTGCGGTACAGAAAAGGAACGGAACCCTTACTGTGTAAATCATTTTCCAAAAATCTTAATGGCAGACAAAAACGATAGAATGGCCCTCAGTCCGGGGCACCCCTTAAGTGGGGAGAGGGTGCGAAGAATCCCCCCGTTGCCTACTATTAAGAATCAGGGAAACACAGAGAAAATAAAGATATATGACAATATAGTACGCATTGCCATCTGGAACGTACGTAGCTTGTTTATGCCTTGAAAATTGGCAAACACTGAGGCTGAAATGAACAGGATGAATATTGATATACTGGGACTGAGTGAGGTTAGATGGCCTGGTTCTGGCAGGCAAAGAACAAGTAATGGATATATTTATCATTCAGGCGGCACTGACCCAGAGCATCGATACGGAACAGCCATACTAGTTTCGGATAGAGTGGCACAGTCAGTCATAGACTTCGTCCCTTTGGGCGATAGAGTGGCACTATTAAAACTGCTAATAACTCATAGAGATTTAAATATAATTCAAGTTTATGCCCCAACAAATGACAAACCAGATCAAGAAATCGAAGAATTCTATAACAAAATAGATGAAGTAATGCGGCTCACAAAGAAGGGAGAGATAACGATGACGATTGGAGACTTCAATGCCAAAATTGGCCGTGGTGTTGAGGGGGATAGTATAGGGGCATACGGTCTGGGCGTAGGGTTCCCAACTTGAGCATCGGCGATTCCGGGACAATTATTTTTAAGCTTTTAAATAATTGAAGCAAGACATTAAATATTAGAAAATAAAATATGTTATGAGTGTAGTACACATTTTTTAGTTTCCAGGTCCCGGCCAAGGCAAATCTTTCGCCGGGACAAACTTTCTGATTCCTGGTTAATCCCGGCCAAACCGGGACGGTTGGGAACCCTACTCACAATTCGCAAGCGTTATGTCTACGGGTAGTCATGTTTCAGTCATGTCTCATGACTAATCTTACTGTAGCCTTGCCCAATAAATTCTTTCTTCTTAAATATTTTTTACTTATTTATAGTACCTTTTACATCGAAATTTTGTCTTATAAACTTTTTACTATTAATACATTAACTTTACTGATGCTGGTCACCTGATTAGTGAAACATAACTCCAAGAATTTTTAATTTTTGTTGAATTATTGTGAGAAGTTTGAAATGATTAAATAATATTTTTTAACAGTGTTATAATAGAAATGAATACATACGTGTTTTAGCTGCCCACTGTGTTAAAACAGACTCCAACTTTCATAAACCAAGCGAATTATTGTGCACATTTGGAAAACAGAATATAGAGAAAATAGAGAAAGCACCCTTACCTGACGAAAAAATGATGGAGCCGGAGTCAATTTTAGTTCATCCTGGTGAGAGAGTGTCACTTTATATATAACACAAATAAAACACAAACAGTTATAACACAGTTCAATAGATAGTATATATTTTCTTTTGTAATATCGCATGTCTCTGAGAATAACCCGTTTTGCAAAATTTGCAATGTCCTTCACAGTGAAAATTTATGCACCGAATTACATCAAACACTCTTTTAAAATTAAAAACCTATAATAAAAAATATAGACACAAACTTAACCAGAGTATTTTTAATGTACTTTGACATTAGTTTGAAACAGATTGTTATTTCAGTTGTCAATTTGGCGATTTGTTTTTCCAAAGCATTCTTTGTGATTTAGCATGACTAGAATAAGCCAAGTTTGATATAGGAAAATGTTTGAAGGATTTTTTATTTTACCTAATGTTTTTTTTACTGACAATAAACTTATAGAGTTTCATTTGTTTCCCAAACAACTTATATTTTAGAACAAAGAATTTGACATGCGATTTTCTAAAATAGCTTTTGATGAAATCGACATTTTAATAAAAAAAATGTGTTTTCTTTCTAGACTACCGAACTGGATCTGCAAACGCTGATATTGCACTACTTAAATTTGAGGATATTGAGTTCAATCCAATAATAAAACCACTTTGTTTGTGGACAGGAGCAAATGAATTAAATCTAATTGTAGGCAGACAAGGAACTGTAGTAGGGTAATTATTTTTATAAATATTGTTTCTAAATATTACGTTTAAAAATTGCTTAAATAGGCATGTGCGGGTATTTGACAACCGGGGCCGGCCGGCGAGATCTTTTATTTTAGGTTATGTTTGAATTGTTTTGAATTATTACTGTAGTTTTATTAGGTAATTTGATATTTAAGTAGCTGGGATTAGTTTTAATTAAATAAATATGGCCTAAAATATGGATTCCACCTCTTCTAATATTAAAGAACCTATAAAGAGACTTAGGTTTACAGCAGATGACGACTTAGCCCTTCTAAGAGAATTTGTTGCTTGTTGCCCTAAACCCACTGGCAGACTTTTGAACAATAAAGCACTGGAAATAAGCACTTTAGCCCTTTAGTTTTAAAATACCTAGTAAACAAGACAATTTCAAAGTTTTAAATTCAAAGTTAGGTTAAGTTTAAATAGCGGATGCGACGCAAACACAATTCTTTCCGATCCGATAACTATAAATGGAGAGAGTTAATAGCACCTCACGTAAAGGAAATAACACCTGGCCTTATTAACGTCCATGCACGCTATTCGGTTTAGCGATATCTCTCTATTACGCTGTTTATTGTTATTTTACGCGTGTTTATTTTTGCGCACAGGAAATTTTACTCGTTTGCACATCGTCATAAAAAACAATTTTCGTACCACGAATTAGGGACAAGATTTTTATCTGTATACTTATAGGATACCTAATCTGTGGTATTGCCTCCTCGAGCCTCAATGCAAGCTGTGAGACGACGTGGCATGCTCTCAATTAAGTTGTCCAGAAGATGTTGAGGAATGGCTTCCCATGTTTCGCGCGCAGCAATTTTCAATTCATTTAAGGTACAGGGGGGATTATTCCTTTTGCCAATATGGCGTTTTAGCATGTCCCAAGCATGCTCGATTACATTCATATCCGGAGACATCGGTGGCCACCATAGTTTTCTTATACCCTCTTCCTCACAAAATTCACGAACCGCTAAAGAGCGATGGGGAGGAGCATTATCGTCCATTACCATTACCCAAACCTTTATTTTATAAAAGGACATGTATTAAATACCTATCGAACATTGGAAACCGACGTTATGCCACGATAGTTATAAAATTTACCACATTCAAGTCGTATTTTGTATATTACATTGTTTTTTGTTCTCCAGTGTTCATTGGTTTAGTGTGGGCTAAAATATCTAGATATAGTGATTTCTTAAATGTTATTATACATGCTTAATATCATGCTAATATTTAAATGGGTGATTCTATGACCTATTTTAGGGAAAAAACTTTATATGAATATACCGGATGTTGCATCGTCGAGCGGGACATAGGAAATCCCATGTAAATTTTAATGGGGTCAATTATTGGCTTCCTAATTATTTTAGAAGTACTCCAGCGCATGCAGAAACAAAAAGAGATACTGAACACCATCAAGGAAAGAAAAATGCAATACCTGGGTCATGTGATGAGAGGTGGTAGATACGAAATACTGCACCTCATAATAGAGGGCAATCGGCATAGAGGCATCCTAATACATACTTCAGATTTGGACATGTCTAATGTTTTTCCTAAATTTTGAATTATAGTAGCTACAGATGCTTGACGTACTATTGTCGGATCCTGTATATTTAACGGAGGCATTAATCAATGGGCTGCAAACTTAGGGTTTCCATAATTTTTTTTTAGAAATTCACTGATAGAATTGAGGTTTTGCTTTTGTTTGTTTTTGTTAATTGCTTTTTACTGAAGTTTGTTTACACAAATGTTCTAAGAAGCACATGCAAAAATATATATATATATATATATATATATATATATATATATATATATATATATATATATATATATATATATCTCTCTCCTGAGACGGATGCTGCAGATCTCTTGGGTACAAAAGGTTCACCAATAATGGGAGTACTCCAGCGCATTACAGGGAAACAAAAGAGATACTGAAGACACCATCAAGGGAAAGAAAATTACAATACCTGGGTCATTGCGTGAGGAGAGGTGGTAGATACGAAATACTGCACCTCATAATAGAGGGCAATCGGCATAGAGGCATCCTAATACATACTTCAGATTTGGACATGTCTAATGTTTTTCCTAAATTTTGAATTATAGTAGCTACAGATGCTTGACGTACTATTGTCGGATCCTGTATATTTAACGGAGGCATTAATCAATGGGCTGCAAACTTAGGGTTTCCATAATTTTTTTTTAGAAATTCGCGATAAGTGAGGTTTTGCTTTTGTTTGTTTTTGTTAATTGCTTTTTACTGAAATTTGTTTACACAAATATTCTAAGAAGCACATGCAAAAAGCGAGGCAAAAAGTAATTATACCGGGTGCGTCTGAAAAGTGGCTCACCCCTATAACTTTTTTATTTTTTCAGATAAAAGAACGAGATTTGATATATTAATATAGTACTATTCTTTTAAAAGTTCCTCAATATGGCCGACCTAGTTACGAAAATTGGTATTTTTTTTAATGAAAAATAAGTTGGCGTTAGCGAATTCCGAAATTGATTTACTATTTGGTTAACAATAATATTTTTCAGGATTGTCAATTTGACGTTAAAGTTAGGTTATTAGGTGGTTGTCATAAATAAAAACATAGATTAATAAAATTATTTAATAAGAATAAAGGTATTTTACCGCAGATCCGAGGAGATTTTACTTAAAGGTATTTTATAAACTTTCTCAGTGAGAATATTAACTCCCCTGTTTCTTATATTTCAGTTAAAGGGACGTAAGAACTATAGGAAGTAAATTTTTGTTTTCACGTTTTGACGATATCTGAGAGTTCCTAGAATTATCAAGATTATTGAATAATTATAGTTGTTTAATAAGTGAAATTAATAGAAGACTTGGAAATAGGATGATGTTTTTCATGTTATAGTTGATAGATCACCCCATTTCTCTTAATTTGTTTTTATTTCAGTACAGTTAATCACAAATTGAATTGATGTGTGCAAAAACAGCTATATATTTTCAAATATCTTATTTAAATAGTTCTTTTATATACTGTTAAACTGTATCAACTACAAAGTATTTAGCAAAAAGTTATAAGGTAATAAATTTTGTAGATATAATTTATGAAAATTTATAATATATAAAGATTAGAACACAATCCTCTGAAGGAAAAAGAAATACTCAAAAACTCATTAAATATACTTTATTAAAAATAACAACATACAAAAACATCCATGCAAACTGTAATAATCAGTACATTATCCACATTATACCTTTATTAAATTTGTGTCCACACTCCTGTCAGGAAAACCAGAAATGTTTGTTTAAATATTAACTTATTTTAAATTGCCAGAAACACATCAGAATATATCACAACCACAACTATAGGTTAAACAGTACTAAATTTTATACCTAGTAAGTGATGCGTTAACTAACAAGTATAGGATAAAAAATAATTATTAATATACATAGAGTGTACTATACAATGTCCAGCTTATTTATGAAATGACTTTCCCTTCAAATGTGAGGAATACCAGTAAAATAAAACATAATTTTTTGTTTGGTTTGGTGGTTGATATAAACAATGCAATTGATATCAAACAGATTCATAAAAACTACTTACACTTATTGTACATAATTATATATTTCAAGTGTTATTTGATGTTTAGTCCCATTACCAACATTACCTTATTTAGGTCCTCTCTACTAACTCAACTTTTATACCTGTTTTAAACCTTCTTTATATTTTAAAACTGATTTACAACAATCTGTAATGCCCGCGCTGTTTACTGAAATATAAGTTTTAATCTATTTATTATCATATAGTACATATATATTACAAACCTGAAAATTACTGATACGAGGAAACTTCTCAAAATAATTAGAGACCTTTTTACAAACATCTGGACTAATTTATTTTCACGAATTTGTGAACGAGTCAATGTTTTCTAATACGTTTTTAAGCGTTTTACACATTTTGAATATCTTCCAGCCTATTCGTCAATTCTTGATCGGCGAAAAGATTATTTATAACTATATAATTAGTACTGCAGGTTGCAGGTTAAATAAAAGAACAAAATCAAGTAGAATTTGTGAATAAAAACTCAAAAAATAATGAAAATATTTAGAAAAAGGAACCGTAAACGTCAATGTCAGCCAAGTGTCAGAGGTCAATTGGATTTACCACAGATTATCAATTTGAACGATTTGAACTGCAGTCGATTGCAGTTTAGAGATTTTCGTTTTTTAAGCCTCCCATATTGAAGTCCGCCATATTGGGAAGTTTTAAATGAATACAGGTATATATGATATAAATTATGATTGATTGTCGTATTCAATTGTTTTCGGTCACTTCCTATTTCACCGGAAATGACTACAACTTTTGATTTTTAAGCGGCACCCTCGGTATTTTTTACTTTATTTAATAGAGAGTGACATTCTGGATAGAATAACAAATCATATGTCAACTTTTGAGATTTTCGCATATGGTTTATTTGAAATTGTAACACGCGGTTCATAACGACAATTTGACTCGAAGTACCAAATGTGTGGTACCAAATTATTCGTAAAAATGCTCTTTCCAAATATGCTACTGAGCCACCCTTGTTCCAGTTGAAGAAAATTGAGATATGATTAAAAATACGATTTGGGCATCTTTTAACTGCCCAGGACAAGACATCAAAAACATTAAATGATTAAAACTATTTTTCCCAGGCTCCTTGATTAAAAATTAGTGTTTTTAACACAGCTATGGCACCCTAGATTGAAATTTAAAACATGATTTTTAAAGGGAAAACGTCAAAAATTTTCTATCGAATAAAGTAAAAATATAACCGAGGGTGCCATTTAAAAACCAAAGTTGTAGTCATTTCCGGTGAAACAGGAAGCGACTCAAAACAATTGAATACGTCAATAAAACCTAATTTATGTCGCATACTAACATACCAAATCCCGTTTTTTTATCTGAAAAAATAAAAAGTTCGAGGCACTTAGTTTACTTTGTTTAGCATTCATATTTATATCATA